ATGCTTCCCCTAGGATTGAAAGTGAGATTCAACCTAGGAGAAGTAAAAGGCAAAGAGTGGAGACAAGCTTTGGACTTGATTTCCTAACAACCTTTATAACATAGTGTGGAAATCTGAGTGAATTCAAAGATAATCTAGATGAGATCATGCTGTGTCTACAGGTTGTGGATGAAGATCCGAAATTGTTTGAAGAAGCTATGAGTTCAGTAGATGCAACCTTCTGGAAGGAAGCTGTGAACAATGAGCTTGACTCAATCATGTCTAATGGGACCTGGGAGCTTGTGGACCTGCCAAAAGGGAGCAGAGCTATTGGGTGCAAGTGGATTTTCAAGAGAAAAATGAGAACCGACGGCACCGTGGAAAGGTTCAAAGCTAGATTGGTGATAAGAGGATTCACTCAAAAATTTGGCCTTGATTATTTTTATACTTATTCTCCTGTGACTAAAATTGCCACTATTCGTGTTTTGTTTGCCTTAGCTTCATCTTACAAATTGATTGTGCATCAGATGGATGTTAAGACAGCCTTTCTGAATGGCGATTTGGAGGAGGAGATCTACATGGAGCAACCTCCAGGTTTTGTAGTTCCTGGCATGGATAATAAGGTGTGCAGATTAAAGAAATCCTTGTATGGTTTGAAACAAGCTCCGAAGCAATGGTATGAAAAATTTCATAAAACTGTTCTTAGTTTTGGTTTTGTCATCAATAGTAGTGATGCATGTGTGTACTCTAAGATGTTTGGTGCGCAATGTGTGATATTATGCATATACGTTGACGACATGCTCCTGTTTGGCACAAATATGTATGTCATAAATGAAACTAAGAAGTATTTAAATTCAAAGTTCGAGATGAAGGATTTGGGAGCGGTAGATGTGATCCTTGGTGTTAAAGTTACTAAAACCAAGAAAGGGTATTTTCTGTCTCAGTCTCATTATGTGGAGAAAATTCTGAATAACTTTAATTGTTTTGATTTGCCTACATTGAGAACGCCCTTTGACCCTTCTGGAACTTTGGTGAAAAATGTGGGAGACAATGTGTCTCAAACTGAATATGCTAAGGTGCTTGGTAGTCTGATGTTTTTGATGAACTGCACTCGCCCTGATATTACTTTCGCAGTTAGTAGACTTAGTCGTTATACTCATTGTCCTAGTGAGCAACATTGGGTTGCTTTGAGGCGTGTGCTCAGATATCTGTGTGGAACCGTGTCTTAGGGATTGTGTTGGTCATCCTTTGGTTCTTGAAGGGTATTGTGATGCAAATTGGGTAACAGACAGCGATGAAACAAGTTCTACAAGTGGCTATGTGTTTACCCTTAGTGGGGGTGCAGTTTCATGGAAATCTGGAAAGCAGACGTGTATAGCTCGATCGACAATGGAAGCTGAGTTCTCGCATTGGATCTTGCTACACAAGAGGCAGATTGGTTAAGAAATTTACTTATTGATATTCTTTTGTGGGGGAAGCCGTCACCGTTTGTGTCTATGCATTGTGATTCACAAGCTGCTATATGTGTTGCTACAAACAGCGTTTACAATGGTAAGAAAAGGCACATAAGAGTCAGACACGAGTCTGTGAGGCAGTTTATTGTGAATGGGGTTATTTCGTTGGACTATGTTCGAACAGAGAAAAACCTGGCAGATCCTTTTACTAAGGGATTAAGTCGTAGACTAGTGGTGGAGCCATTAACTGGTATGGGTTTAGGACCTATGTTGTAATGACCTGAAGTGGTAGCTATTCAAGCTATATGACATGATACTTTGGTTTTAATAAATCTGGAACCTGTTTTGGTTGTTTTGTTTCATTGGCATGAGTCATGTGGATTTGTTATTTATGTATCATGTGTTTGAATCTATTACTCTATAAGAGTGGTAAGTTTTATCAGTTAGATTCCGCAAAGATGAGTTTGTCTCTTAATGTCATTAGTCCAGTTGTTTTCTGAGCAGGGATAGATGGAGGTTCTTAAGAGAGTTAAGACCTTTATCCCAGTGGCTCTTGAAATAGGATAGATAATGACACCGAAAGTTGAAGGGTTGAACTTATGTTCTTAATGTTCTAGTTCCATGGCATGCAATTATCTGGTTTGCAAGGTGCTTAACCGTGTTTAAGCCTGCAAGGAAAGACCTTTGAATTTGCTGGGAACGTGTGTGAGTAACACATAGGTTGAACACTTACGTGAGTACGAGAGGTGGCCTCTCTCAAGGGAAGATTGGAGTATTTTTTTCTTGAAGTGCTCATGAGAGCCAAAGTGTTGGCCAAGATTGGCGGAGTTGCTTAAGCTCTAAAGTCAAGGTATGTGTATTCAAGGTCCCTTCCTCGCTCCTAGGAGTTCAAATCTTAGGATACTCACTAGGGAATTATTGAAAACCTTGTGCACTAATGTGTTAGTTCAAACCTTTGGATACTAGCATTTAAGTACTAAGACTTTAATTTACTGTTCAGATTTCATGTTGAAAATACGCTCGCATTAGTGGGGGATTGTTGGAAATAGGTAATGCAAACAGATTCTCGCGCCCGATCGGGTGGTGGTTCGCCCGACCGGGCGGAGGTGGCTGAGGAAAATAGGAGATCTCTCGCGCCCGATCGGGCGACGGACTCGAGTTTTTGACGAGCCCGATCAGGCGGCTTTCGCCCAATGGCTCGCCCGGGGTGGGTTTTCTAGATCGCCCGACCGGGCGGTGTTCGCCCGACCGGGCGCGACACCAGGTCTGGAAAAACTTAATCTCGCGCCCGATTGGGCGGCTGCTTGCCCGATCGGGCCCCCCCTTTTTCCTAGGTCGGTTTGTTTTACGTGTCTCCTTTTTCCGGGACTCATATAAATACGAGCCTTGCTTCTTCATAAGAAATTCATTCACTTTTCAAGCCGAAAAACACAAAAACCTACCTTTTGAGATCTGAACAATTCTTGAGCAATTCCACTCTTCGAGTTCGGGTGCACGGATTACGGAGAGAGTTGCACGGATTACGGAGAGAGTTGCGTTAAACTTGGGGGGCGTGCGTCACTAGGAAACTTGTACCGGTGGTGGCGTATTTCGCTTCTAAGGCAGTGGATTTTGTTCCACGGCGCGACTGTGAGTTTGGGATCTTCAATCCAGGAAAGTTCTAATCTTTTGTTTGTTATTGATTTCAACAGTTATTTTACCAACAGTATGATAACATTAATAAACTATGCCAATAATAATTTCCTGATCACATGTCCAAAAAATAAAAAATAAAAAAAGAATTCTGATGACTACATACCATACGGAAGCCTTATAAAGAGAGAGATATGCTAGCAGGAAGCAGTATCATTTAAAACATGATAACAATAGAAGTACAAAATAATACAAATTACTCCAAATTTTTTTTGAACATAGAGTACTGCACTATATTACTAGTGCAAAGTTATATTTTTAACTTTGTTCAAAGAGAAAAATAAAATTTTCAATTTTATTATGAAAAAATGTCATAAAAACACATCAAACTTGAATGCATATACATGTAGGGACTAGCTAGGGAGTTAACATTTTGCTATGTTCCAATGTGTACTAATATAACTTATATATTACGTACATGTTTATGTCTATTGTCTTATAGACACATATTTTTACTTGTTTTGCTCCCATATACGTTGTATGTTAAATGTAATGTATTTGTATTTTGAAATACTACGAAATGGAAGCATATACTTCTTATATATACATTGTGTATTATGCTCCAGCCTCCAGCCAGGGTGTACAAAAATAACAATTGCATGTTAATTAAAATGTACTTCCCCCATTCTATTAATATTGCAACAATGAAATTTTTGCACTATTCATCACTCTTGTTTGACCTTATAATATAAATTTATACGTTAAGTAAAATATAGTCATGTAGGATCTTATTGGATTAGTCTCATAAAATATTTTCATAATATTAACTTTTTATAATTTTTACTCTTACACAATTACACATATAAAATGTGCTTTAGGATGCGTAATTTCCTTCTTGTTGCAATATTAAATTATTAATAGAATGGAGGAAATATCATATTGTCTAGCAATTTTGTTAGTATAGATTTTCTGTTTAACTTTTTATAATATTATCTTCACATGTGATTATTTTTTACTGTTATTTAGTCATTTAGTGATTTATTCGCATGCAGTAGTTTGTATGATTATAAGAGGCTAATGAATTATTGAATGTGACTTGATTGCTTCAATAAGTATGACAAATAATATATCAACAGTCTAGATTTAAAATATTACTGTAATCGTTCGTAATCAACAAATATGCTAGAATGTAAAAATTTAAACATAATCCCAAGGAATCAAACATTTCATCATATATAAGAACATTATCCCATATCTTTGAACTATCTCCAAAAAAAAATTCATTACGCGTGAGACGACAAAACAATAAAGAGCATACATAAGTGTTAATTACTACTCCCTCCGTGTTTTTTTAAGTGTTACACTTACTAAATTCAGTTGTGTCTTAATAAGTGTTACACTTCCTTTTTTGGCAAAAAGATACAAAAAATATTATACCTCTCTCCTCTCATGATCTCCACCCAAATCTATTACTACTTTTTATATTATATATCTCATTTCACATTCATTATTTTTCAATAAACTATTAACCCCACTATTTTTCTTGTACAGTTTTTAATATTCCAACTATCCCACTTATCTCTTATTTTATTTAAGTCAATTAAATTGTCTAAAACTATATGTCAGTCAAACTGTAACACTTAAAAAAAACACGGAAGGAGTATCATAATTAGAGTTTGATTTATCATCATGGTATATTACTATATTAGTACTTCCAATTCATATTTGATAATGATATTGTAAATCATTCTATAAATATAAATATTTGATTATTTATATATATATTATATATATATAAACATACATACATACACATGTATTAGTTGTATTTTGTATATGTTATACTGGAAAGTTGTATAAATTATAGGGGTGTTATTGTAATGTATATGTAAAGCTCTTGGGTCCCCTCTTCATAAATGCACCTTTATAAAGGATGGGTTGCACCACTAAAGTTGTCACAGTTTAGTTGTTCTTTCAGTTTTCTTCTTCAAAGAGATCACCACTTCCTCCTCTTTCTCTCTCCTCTTAAATTTCTTCATCTTTCAAACTTTGCCACCTGCAAATTCAACTTACCAATACAACTAAAAAAGGTAACTCCCATAACTAACTATTCTCAATTTTTTTGTTTTTAATATAAGCTTCTTTATTTGGTTATTTCAAGATTTATACCAATAATTTAATCTTTGTTGTTTTTGTTACAATAGTAACATCATGTAACACTATATTACATGTACATAACATATATGTACTAACTGTGTGCGTGCATGGCGTGCGCTTCTTATTATTCTTGTGTGTAGGAAATTAAATTATTATTAAACTAGTGCGTAGCACAAATGATGGACAAGGTAAATTCCACAATGGGCTTAGTCCGAACAAAATCGGACCAACTAGTGGAGTCGATGGCAGCAGCAATGGCGGCAATGAAATCCCCGCCATCAGGGGACGGGAGTATGGTGCCTACGGCTGATGGATCGCATAAATCGAGCCGTAGGATAACCTCTCCCGGAGTGAATAGGAGCAGTAGGAACTACAACAACAATAGTCACATTAGGAAAACAAGGAGTGCTCAATTAAAACTTGATATTGATGATCTTAGCAATGGGGCAGCCCTAAGTAGAGCCTCTAGTGCTAGCTTGGGTCTCTCCTTCTCCTTCACTGGCTTTAGCGTTCCTCCTGAGGATATTGCTGATTCTAAGCCCTTCAGTGACGATGATATTCGTAAGTCTTGTTAACTAATACTCCCTCTGTCTCTAAATATAGTTCTTTATTTTTTTCATCAGACAATCACCGTCATATTAAAAATTAAAAATAATTTTTTAAAACAGAGAGAATATTTTAATAAAGATTGCCAAAAAAAAAAAAAAAAAAAAAAAAAAAACACTCAGTTTCCTCCATTATAAATTAATACTATTAAGTATATAGATTATGTTTATTTTTTGTGTCAAAATAAGCCATTTTAGTTGTTTATTGTAATAGGTAATAGTGTTTTTATAAGCTAATTATGAAAATCGAGCATAACTCGATTACTAACTAGTTTATGTTTTTATTGAGTGGAAAATAAATTGTTTTGAATTTGTGGTAAATTATCAACTACGTATATAATTATAGTTTACTTAATGTCCAACTTGGTTAATATTGGAAAAGTATATAATTAAAGAAAACAATGGAAATACTTGGGTGAAGTATGCTAGAACATACTAATCTTTAAGATGACAACTTGTGCATGGTTTAGAAAATGACTAGCTACTATTCATAATGACTTCAAAAAGGGCTATGTAAATTTCCTTTTCTGTTTTTTCTAGTATTGACAAGTGGAAATTTCTATTTTCCAGTTGGGTGGATGATATTTAAAATTTAGTCAATTATCATCATTTTTTCTTTTAGATTTTAATGAATAGAAAAAGAGAGATAAGAGATTGTAAAGATTATTTCTCAAATCAATAATAGAGCCAAATAATATCCTACAAAATCTAAGAAAATCAAAATGAAAATTGTACTCCGTAATATATAATACATAGTAGTAATTAATAAAGTTAGAAATAAATAATATAGAGTCCAAACAATTTGGTTCACTATTGATTATTCCATTAACCTTAATTATAAAATTGTATATATGTATAAATGATAATTTGATAGCAGTAGATAAATTGCCTGCCAAATAAAAAGTAGGGTTAGTTGTTAATCTGTTATTATTGGTGAATCACTGGATAAAGTCCCTCCTAAAAAGTTATCTAAAAATGATTAGGTTATAATTTTAAGTTTTTGATACAAAATATTACTTCCTCTTTTCTTATTTCACTTTATAAATAATTACTTAATTAGGTATAGAAAATATTTAGTTACCATTTGTAATACTCATATATCATTACATTTGAGACAAAGACATAGAAGCGTTTCAAATTAAAATAAAGATATTTTATATAATAAAAAGTATTTATTAAACATTTTTTTTATACAATACAACTTTATTATAAAAGCATGATGACTTTTTTTTTTTTAAAGTAGTCATAATATAATCAGTTAATCACTCATGATGATATTCAATCCAAACATCAGTAATATCCCTAATACTTTACTTATACTATAACCCTAGGAATTAGCAAGTCTTATCACTTGTTAGATTATAGGTATAAGTCCTGAGGGTACGCTTTATAGGCAATGATTAGAGAAGGTAAGACTATTTCATAAAAAACGCGAAATCTTAAATGAAACGGACTTATAACAACTTAGTTCTGCGAGACTAAGTCCGCGGCTCGGGTCGTCTAATACTAGTTGTCAAAAAATTAGTGTTCCGCAAATGATGGATTGGTCCTAATTGATGTTAAACACAAGTAGTCAAGTAGCTAGTAGTGAGAAACAGTTGATAGCAACCTACCAAACATGAACGGCCATCACTATACTTTAATGTGAAACCAGCAACTATATGGTAAAATAAGGGGTCCACTGTCTACATTAAAAGAAAAACTTCTGGTGGTCTTTGTTTCCCAATATTAACGTTTAATATATGGCCAAGAAATGTAAAAATTATATATGGACCATACAAATAATAATATAATGTGTATTTTCCAAGTTTATTTTTATGATATGTCAAATTTCATGATTTTATTTTCAATGATAAACACCTTGATTGATCTACAAAACAAAAGAACGTACAACCCAGGAGACAACGGTCTTTGTTAGTGGAAAAGTTTACCTTTGTTTTCCACCTCTAGTCTTTGTATTATGGGACCTCTTTATCTTTTATGCTACACCCACTTGGATTCTGTTTAGTACCCACTAGGACATGCCCTTTGCTACATATGTACTGCATTGTCCACGCACGGTAGTACGTTCATTACTCGACTACTCGTTCAACTTATCTTATTTTTAAGAGTACAATCGACATATGAGTATAGGTATACCTAAGGTTAATGTTTTAGACCATTCGTAAATGACTGGATGGTGAAATCGTTATTTAATGACGTACTTATTTATCCTTACATTACGGCCACTAGATTGTGTACCTTTTGGAAGTAATATATGTAGATAGTACGAAAATATTACAATCCTTTTATCCTTAGATAGCATTTGATAGCTGAGGGAAGCTTGATTGTCGTTATTTCAGCAAACTAATTGAGGTTGATTTATCGACTCACTTCAAAACAAACATTGAGCCTTATCATCATCAAGTATATACATCTTCACAACTGTCTTGATTTGTTTTTGTTGGGAGAGGCTGTCATTTTGACTTTATTTTTTTGTTTGTTTTGGGGAAAAGGCTGGAAAATATGTTTTAAACAAACAAAATCCTGACTAAAAGCAATCTTACAGTGTAACTATTTACTTGAATTGCCAATTCATACACCCCATAGGGCTAATCAAATTAATAAATCTTAAAATATGTCTAATCAGGTCAAGATCAAACTCAACTTGAAACTTTATCAAGTCAAGTTAGGTACCTCTAAATAAAAGAAGTCATTTACACGTCTTATGTATCGTACCTGTCTTTCTTACATATTATAATCCGTGATTATTATTTCTAGACAAGAAGGGCGAAGTAACTCAAGTAAGTATATAGTTAGCCATCTGTATTTATCCAAAACTCAGTCATTATGGACCAACCTTAGTCCTTTTGTTTGACACATAATCCATTAAAGCCAATCATGCATCAAAAAGTGCTATATGGTATGCTCCCCAACAATTTTTGAAAAATTGAAATCCATGTTAACTTGTTGAACTCAAATCCACTGAGAAAAATGGAATCCATTACTTTGGCCAATCAAGCTTAACTTTACACACGTCCACTCAAGCTTGGTTTATTATGGCCAACTATTTAGATTCAAAGTTTATCAACTGATATTAACAATTCAACCTACCAGGTGACTCATGAGATAATAGTGGACCATTATTTTCAAAATCCTCCTTCCAACATCACCTGATAAAAAGTGTACGAAACGCCAGGCTCCCTCGTATAGAAGCTTGAATGTTCGGAAAAAGTTGTCATATTTTCAAGATTAGAATTAGACAATACTTAAATTTCATATCTTCCACTTGCTAAAATAAAGTGGTAGAGAGTACAGATAGAAGAAAAACTACTTTGTACTTCGTATTATAATGTGTAAAGGAATGCTCCATAAATTTAAATAAAATCATGGTGCATGTTTAGTTATAAGGATGGTAACAGTATACTTCATATCATGACTATTACCAATACATGGTCTAAACTCTAAAGACTCTAAGCTTGATTGATCATATATCGTTTATTCATTTGTACATTATTTATTGTTTTTCAGTCAAAAACCCAGATGATTTTACAATAGATTAATTCAACATTTCAATTACACCCTCAATAAACTCAGAATAATGACATAGTTAAAAAATATGGAGAGAAATTTTATATGGTGGCTTTTAACAAGTGAAATTGAAAAGAACATGCATTTTGGTTGTTGCAGCTGAGGATCTTGAAGCGGGAACACGTAGGAAGAGACTCGACGCAGAGCCAACTTTTCCAATCTATCTGAAGGTAATAACATGTGTATACTAACACTACTTATACAAGTATATTGCAGACATCATTTTTGTCTGCCTTCCCTCTAAATGTCAGCAAACAAGCATTCTCAATAGTGTTGATCATCCTGCATTTTTGCTACGAAAAGGCAGCATGTATTCTTTCGCTTACTACCTATGTATCTGAACAGGCCCGGGGGTTGGAGATTTTAGCTACACACTGATCAACGGAATCCCAATGCATTGAATATGGCTAATTAATCATGGTCAGGTTCAGTCTTGTACACCGTATGACAGTATGTACAAGACATCTATTACTACCATTTCCCGAACATGATTAGATCACACAAACTACTGGTTAGAAACTAGTTTAGAAGACCGAGGTAGACATAATGCCCCTTTTACTCGTAGGGAGGGTAGGGAAGAAACGAGAGAGCAACCTCTGGTGGCTATTTTTGTGCATGAGATTTCCTTCAAACCAATTTGATGCTATTATCGATTAACTATGAGAGGAATACTAATACGAGTTGATTATTGACTGAAATCTTGCAGTTTAAAGAAGTTACATACAAGGTTGTTCTCAAAGGATTTTCAAATACAGAAGAGAAGCAAGTCTTACATGGAATCACAGGTTCAGTGAATCCTGGAGAAGTGCTGGCTCTGATGGGCCCTTCTGGAAGCGGGAAGACAACACTTTTGAATGTTCTTGGAGGAAGGTTAACTCAGCCCAAAGCCGGAGGTTCTGTTACGTATAATGATCAGCCATACTCAAAACTCCTGAAAAGCAGGCAAGTACAAGTGTTAAATAATTCACTAATTAATAATAATATCATTAAGATTGATGAGATATTCAAATTTAAAGGCATATACCAACTTATGACATTTGCAGGATAGGGTTTGTGACTCAAGATGATGTTCTATATCCTCACCTCACTGTGAGAGAAACCCTTACATATGCTGCATACTTACGGCTGCCAAAAAAATTAACGAAGAAAGAAAAGGAACAACGAGCTATGGATGTCATTTGCGAGCTAGGGTTGGAGAGGTAACCTTCCCTTGTTACAAAGGTTTGTGGATATGATGAAAAGGAATAGTGCATTCTAGGGAGAATTGCAGATTCCTTATACCAATCCTTCGCAAAGAAGAACTGTTGATTATCTGAAATATTACATATATACATGTGCAGATGTCAGGACACAATGATAGGCGGTTCCTTTGTTCGTGGAGTTTCAGGTGGAGAAAGGAAGAGAGTTTGTATTGGTAATGAGATATTAATCAACCCTTCCCTTCTCTTCCTAGATGAACCAACCTCAGGCTTGGATTCTACAACCGCCTTAAGGATCATCCAGGTGTTGCAAGATATAGCCGAGGTAAAGTAACACATGCTATGTTTGATTATACTTATCAAATTTGTAATGAACAAGAAGTTCAAATACAAATCTTTCAGAAAACATATGACAGTTGACACTGATATCATAGTCTTCAAAACTTGAAGATATATAACACCAATTCCCAATTCATGCATCTTTATAACAATTCATGCATATTTGTAGGATGGGAAGACGGTCATAACTACAATCCACCAACCATCAAGCAGACTTTTTCACAAGTTTGACAAACTAATCCTTCTCGGAAAAGGAAGCTTGCTTTATTTTGGAAAGGCATCAAACGTGATGAGCTATTTTGCTACCATAGGGTGTACCCCTCTGATATCCATGAATCCAGCAGAATTCCTGCTAGACCTCGCCAATGGGAACATAAATGACGTAACTGTACCATCAGAATTAGATGATAAAGTACACATGGACGACCCAGAAACTGAAAGACCGAATGGTAAACCATCTGCTGCAGTTATCCATGAGGTAAGTCAGCCCTGACTCTCAGACACACTATAACACAAACAGGTTGGACAACGAAGAGAAAAGGCAGTCACACTCGTGATTTTTTACCGTCCTTACGAGATTGATTTAATTTAGTTCAATAGACAGTGTGTTAAAAGGATCCTAAAGTACAATCACATCTAAAATATGGAAATTTCTAAAAAAAAAAAAAAAAAAAAAAAAAAAACTTGAGCAATACAGCTCCACTATTGATAAAAACACACCTCTAGTCTAAAATGGAAGGATGTATTATAAATTTTCTATATGTATGCATTAAAGACATGGAATGAGTTTGATAATTCTGATAAGGCTTCTCCATTGAAACACAACAGAGTCGCATTCTTAGCATTATGCACAGGTATATGGTACATCCAATACTGAAAGGAAGTACAAGACATTAAAATGACATAATAACTACAGGAATATATTAGTTTGAAGGGAGAGAGTTAAGAGTCAGGTACTACAGCAAATGTCTCATATAAGATTTTATTGCAGTATCTTGTGGAGTCCTACGAATCACGAGTAGCAGAGAAAGAAAAGAGGAAGCTTGGAATCCCTATACCAATAAATGAAGAAATGAAGTTGAAATTATCATCTGTGAAGCGAGAATGGGGAGCAACCTGGTTTCAACAATATTCAATTTTATTCAAGAGGGGAATCAAAGAGCGAAGGCATGAGTATTTTAGCTGGCTGCGGGTTACCCAAGTTTTGGCCACAGCAGTTGTACTCGGGTTACTTTGGTGGCAGTCAGATAGCAAAACTGAGAAGGGACTAGAGGATCAGGTATACTCAAATCGCAGTCCACGATTTCATATCTTATTTCTTCCTAAATTTTAACAAGAATATTCCTATAGTGAAGAGTGATCTTTACAGCTTTACTGATATCATGAAAATTACTGGAGGGTATATAAAACCATGAAGTCAGCCATTACCATACAACAGAGAGATATTCTAACCAGACTGATCTTTCGACCTTTGCAGGCAGGGCTGCTTTTCTTTATCGCTGTTTTTTGGGGTTTCTTTCCCGTCTTCACAGCAATTTTTGCATTCCCTCAAGAGAGAGCAATGCTTCAGAAAGAAAGAGCAGCTGACATGTATCGATTAAGTGCCTATTTCCTTGCAAGAACGACAAGTGACCTACCACTCGATCTTGTGCTTCCAGTTCTCTTCCTGCTAGTAGTCTACTTCATGGCAGGCCTAAGGCCTGACGCAGTAACTTTTTTTCTAACAGTACTGACAGTTTTCCTCTGCATTGTAGCTGCACAGGTAATTTTCTTCAACTGTCTGTTCACAAAGTTCAGTCGGGAGATTTCCTAGCATTATCTGGTAGAAATCACTTTTTTACGACGATTTGCTGCAATGACAGGGACTTGGATTGGCAATAGGAGCTTCTCTAATGGACATTAAGAAGGCAACAACTCTAGGTTCTGTAACAGTAATGACCTTCATGTTGGCTGGTGGATACTTTGTAAAGGTACGCATAAAATCAATGTTTACAGGGCACTATATTCCCTTATTTACCAATCCCAACTCTATAATGACAATTGCACTCTACTGACCATTAATAACTGTCGTTCTTTGTCTGCAGAAAGTTCCGATATTCATATCATGGATCCGTTACCTTTCTTTCAACTACCACACCTATCGGCTGCTTCTCAAAGTACATTATGAGAATCACATTCAGCCCACAAATTTGATGAAATTTGACAGTGGCTTAATGGAGGTTGGTGCTCTGATTGCCATGGTCTTTGGCTACCGATTATTAGCATACATAGCCCTTAGGAGAATGCGGCTTCAATAATAAGCTATACCCACGGACCTATTCATTGGATTACAAGCAGCGCAGCCTCCAAATTTTTCTCCGATTCCAAATGCCTACCAGGGAGAAATCTGTCATAGTCACTGTCAAAAAGGGTAAGAAGAAAAGGCCAGCCTAGCAAAGATGCTGATCCAACTCCAGTTCTCCAAGTACTTTTAGTTATTACTTCAGCCAATGTAACAAAGAGCATAGAGAAGTTAAATGTCAGTTGCTTACAAGTGTAGTGATAATGTGCAAAATATATCTTGAGATAAGCTTTTTTCTAGTAATATCACTCTCAAATTCTCAACTTTATCCTAAGTTTAATGTTAGTTCTCTCTCTAATTGATGTAAACAGCTTCGAGTAATGGAAAAACAGTTTGAAGTAAAATTAGTTAGTTAAGCTTGTTGAAGCAGAATAATCATTCTATATGTAGAGCATTAAGTACACTTGAAGGTGTGTGCATGTACAAGAATCAAGTATAAGCAACTATATTAACAAAAAAAAAAAGTGTTTTGATGACTTATTAACAAACAAAATAATAGTACACATGATTTCACCTCAGCATCTGCGGCTCTACTTTTCAACGTGAAATGAATCAATTCAGAGCCCTGTGATGCAACATCTTTTTTTCTGGTCCAAAAAGTATATTCTTTGCATGAAACACCTCAAAACTTTGTTTACCTTCACTTGAACAAAGTATCAGTATGCAGCCCCATGCAATGCACCCAATAACCATGCTTCACTTTTACGAGTATTCAGGCCAATGTTCTAAACCAGCGAAGCAAGCCAAGCAGAGCAGCATCTAATGCAGGGGAGGATTTCTCAATCCCTACAAACAAAAAACAATATTAAATCATTTTATCACCCCGTATACATTTGAATATAAACAGAATAAATGAATATATGCAAGTAAATTTTCTGCATTTTCTGTCACAATTTGACAGCTAGGGCTGATAATAGAACTTCATCTAATATTTACTAATGCTCGGATAATACTAACCGATATCAGCAGCCACTCTATGAGCACACATTATTCCTGAAAAGGCCACAGCTATGACCCCTTGCCCAGGGAAACAGCTATCACCAACACAGTAAAGACCATCTACAGCCTGCAATTACAACAATAGAGCCTCATTCACAAATCAAGATACAAGTGGAAATTATGGAGTGTCAAACCCAAAACTTTCAGCTAACCGTCGTATTAAATGGCATTCCCAATAAGCCTTTAGGAACTGAGCGTGGCATAGGTCCATACGTGCCACTATCACGAGCCAAAAACCGTCTGTGTGTTTTAGGAGAGCCAACCTACAATGAGGATACATTTAAATATTTTAAAAGCAATCTGGGAGAGAGAAAAGAGAAAATGATATATGAAGTAGTATAAATTAAATTTTGCATTTATGAAATTCCAATACTGCAGCAGGAAAGATACAATAAAGGATTTTCAATGTTGATGCTTTGCTGTTTGACAAAACTCCACTATAGAGACTATTTATTACTTTCCATATTGTCATATTGATATTCCCCCGTTGGTGACCCAGGGTAGTAACAACAAATCCACTTAGATGATTCAACACTAACGCCATGTCAATGTTGAATCTTTGTTCAAAGGGTGTAATGTCAAACAAGAATGAATTTTCAAACTCAAGACACTAAAGTTAGAATGTGAAAACACAGATCTTAAAGTGAAAATCGTCATAGCTAAGCTACCGAAATTGAAATATTCCTGAATTAAATGTGCATTAGTCTATATCTTCAAAAGCTATTTTTATATACTGTATGTAAAATAAAATCACAAAAAAAAAAAAAAAAAAAAAATACTCCGTAAATAAATAAATAAATAAAAATCTAAATAGAAGGGTGATTAACAACATTAAACCTTCAAAACAGTTAGAATTAATGTCTATCAAATGATTTTATCCCTCATCAATCTCTTACTTCTTAGATTCAGTCTTTGTGGCATCAGAAACTACTCAACCAGAATAAAACAACCCAACAAGGAAACATACAAGCAGAAAAGGGGCAATGATCAAGGGCTTGATTTAAATACTTGGAAAAGGGCACACACTAAACCAGCATTACAGTTTAAGAGAGAAGGGGTTAACATATTAGTTAAATGCCCTCAATTCATAATTTTGCGGAAAGCTGGATTTTTCTATACCAATACCTCTTTAAACAGTATGGATGATTTAAGCCCTGGAAAAAGTTTCTTTTCTAATCTGCTTATGATTTCATCAGCAATGAGCTCCTTCTTTTTGTTGTAGTCCGATGGAGATAATCCCTGCGACATCAAAAACTGGATTATTAGGTTCACCCAATCCCTTCGGACATATTAAGATTTCAATATGTTCCAAGTACTTTTAGAAACTTTAGAATTTAAAAGGAACAAAGAATTACAATCAAAATAAATAAATTAAGATGCAATCTCCTCTAAAAAAAGGAAATAAATAAGTCTAGAATAAGTAACAAAGTCATAAGGTGCACCTGCCAGTCATCAATGGAGGAAGTTGTAAATATATGGAGAATGTGATGTCCACTTGGGGCTAATGAAGAATCGAGAATGGTGGGAATGCTCAAGAATATACTGCCATAAGGCTCCTCTAGATTTTTCCAATCACTCTGTAAGCAAAGAAACAGCACCATTAGTTGATTTGTGCCTCAATATAGCACCATAAGGTCCATAACTAAATGTATGTCATCAGACACATCACCTCAAGAACAAAGTGGTGACAATCTGTATCTGGAGGTAATACTTCAGCCTTGACTCCCATGTGTATTGAAAGAAAGGATGGAGCTTTAACATATAATTTCTGAAAATCTTCCTCTTCTTTTGGCAGATGTTCGGCTTTTAGAAGTTTGCCTATAGTAAAGATATTAGTGAATGTTACTGATGCAAAAGCTAAACTGCCAACTTCCAATTAAAGGAGTGAGTTCCTTCTTCCTTGCCCAAACTTACCAAAGGTATCCCATCTAGTAGCATTTGATATGATGGTTCTGGCATAATATTCACTTCCATCAGACAGTCTCACTCCAACCTGTAAAATTAATACATAAATGCCATTAACACGAAGCCACCAATCTGAGTTTCCTAGTTTGCCTTCCAAGTCTCCAATCATTAACAATATTCCCGCATCTTAAGCTAACTCAGAACTTACAGCCTTTCCATGCTCCAGAATGATGTTTTTAACATTTGCTTTGTAAAGAATGTTGCTTCCGTGATCAACGAGACCTTGTGCCAGGGATTTGGCAATTTTACCAACGCCGCCAACAGGATAGTTGATCCCTCCAAAATGCCTATCACATAAAACCTATCATAAAGCATATTAAATGATAAAGAAACTAAACAAAATTATTAGAACTGGAAAAGGAAAATGAAATATCTTACCATACTTGCATTTATCATAGGAGTTTGCATAGCATTAACAGTGCTGACAATAAAACACTGCAGAACATGATTACCCATTATATCAAACTGTAATCTTCTACACTATGTTATAAGGCATGCCAATGATTGAATTTTTAAGTTAACAAACTTGAGTTACCTCAGCATCTATGAAAGACAGCAGTTGAGGATCTTTGATGTATTTACGGGCAATTGCTCCAGCATTTTGAGGCAAATAATAGGCTGCAAGTGCAATTGGCATCTAGAAATTAACTCCAAAAAACCATGATTTATTCTTAGAAAGTCAGAATGTCATTATAGCTTTAGGGAATTACATGTCTATGAGCAAAGAATGGTATGAAAATTGAAGTCTTTTTTTTCAGCATAAAATTCAAGAGCAATGCAAAGTGGCACTTACTTTACATTTTGGCTATCTTATCCATAATATCGAATTAAATCTCTAAAAAGCCAAGAAATTCTCTTTATCTTTCAAAAGAATAGACACAAAGACAAGCATAAATTCAACTCTAATCAATTGATAAGTAAATTAGCAAAAAAATACTCCCTTCTTTATGAAAAGTGGTTTATTTGTCCATTTATTGTGGTTATTTTAACCCGATTTTGTTGTTGTTTTCCCTATTTAATTCCCTTTGTAACTCCTTTTTGTATATAATTGTAGCCTTTGGCATCCCCGATCCCTTTTAAGTGTGTGTTCGGGTTTGTAGATGCAACGAGAAATTATGGATTTAGCATGAACATGAGGACTACTTTAAGGAGGCATGCACCATTCAAGGAGCGGGCGTGAACAATAGGAGGGGTCGCTCCTATTCTGTGCACCACAAACTGCCTTGGCCTGATCTAAGTAAAGCGGGCGTGCACCTCTTATGGAGCGGGCGTGCAACTCTTATGGAGCGGGCACTCCTAATTCTTGAACTACATTCTGCCTCCCCCTGCATTCCAAGGAGCAGGAACGCATTACAGGAGCAGCAGCAATCCTCCCAGATCCTTCATATTCTGCCAGCCTACTGCAGTAAGAGCAGGTGTGCAAGGAGTCCAAGAGCGAGCACTCCTAGCCCTAGAGCGGACACTCCTCCTGTAAACCCGGTTTTCTCGACGGAATTTTCTATGTAATTTTCGGGGGTATAATTACCACCCTTGGCCTCATTTTTACGGATCCTCTTTTCCCTTTAGCTTTCTTAGGCCCTTATCTCGTAGTTAGTGCTTCAAACTCTCATTAATTAGCTTAATTTCTGAGTATTTCTCTAAAGTTAATCATTTGTACTACTTTAATTGAAGTTTGTGTTCTTGATTTCAACAACTCCTCTCAACTTTGAAGCTTCTTAAGTAATCTATTTCCTCTAACTCTCTTTCTTTTATGTTTTTATTTACTTTGAATTGTTAATTTCTCTTTTAATTTTGTTTATTATTGTTGTATGTTCAATCTACTTCCACCTTATCACTTCTCTCAACTTCTTAAATTAATGCTAGAATTAGAACTTGTAGCTATGTTGTTCTTCACCATGATTAGTAGTAGTTCCTTAGCTAGGGGTTAGGTTAAGACCCAACCAAACCATGAGTTGATGAATTGTAAGTGCTTGCATGTTCACCTTGGGTTGATAATTGATATTTGATTGTTAAAGGATTGGTTATTTGCATGTGTAATTAGGTGGCCACTAATTGGTCATGTCTTCACTTCTATGCTTGCATTGAATGATGAGGTTTAGTTGTGAGCTTTTTCTTGATTATAGTTCCTTATTTAGATGTAGTAGTCTTAGTTGAAATAATTAGGTGAGAGATCCCAATTATTTGTGCCTTATTGCTTTCTCAAACCGACCGAAAGACAAACCCGAGTTAGTAGTCTACTTTTGATCATTGAGACTTGGTTGACCTATCTTGTTAGTTGAGTTTTGGTTTAGGGGTGCTTAGTGCTGTGACTTCGAAAGAAGACAATGTTGATATCCCATTTCATCACCAAAGTTTGATTCATATTTGTCAATTGTATTGA